AAAAAGAAACTGAACAAGGGGCAAAAACTTTACTTTCAAGTTTCTGAAAACAGCATTTTTTGGGGGATAGCCTCCTTATGCTTAAAAGCGACCATTTATACTTTCAGTTTGCGAGAATGAGACCGTTCTCAAAGTTCTCAGTATGCTTTATCTATGTTAAAGCTACAGTCTATTCTTAGAACCAAGTTGCCAAAACAACCAATATTGACTAACCTTTAAAAACCAGAACGCAGATGGCTTCCGAAAGGCTACTGTTATTTCTCTTTGGCGTAAGTACAACTGTGGCCCTATTATTTCCTTTTCCCACTTTTTCACTGATCTCATAGTCGTGTTTCAAGGCACCGGTATGTGTGGTATGATGTTTAAACTCTTAGCCGTTGCAAGAAAAAGCCAGTTCGATTCCTGGGTAGGAAAGTGTTTTATGGATTATCTCCGTGACTTTAGCGGGGATGCCATATATCTCACTCAGCTTGCCATGGGCCTAATGGGCTGATTCGAAGAAGTTTGTCCTCCAAATTTTAATTATCTAATTTGTTCCAATGTGGGTGAAAAACATTTACATTCAAAATGTTTCATACATACTTAACTATCTCAAGGAAGTTTGAAAGAGGAATTTGAGTAAGGTCTTGAGTTGCTTTTTTCTACTTAGAACACTTTGACCCAGCCTCGTGGACCGGCCAGGGTGTCCAAAAGTCCATCACTGGAAACGCCAAACCAGTAGTTAAGTACGAGTTTTTGACCTGTGTAAAAAAGGAAACCCCCCCCCCCCACACACACCACACATATATACACTCACATATACGCGCACTCACACACATACCCACGTACACGCATACACACATACTCACATAAACACACACGTACACACACGTACACACACACAGACACACACACACACATGCACACACGACCCAAAAAAACAACAACCCCTCACCCTCCCCCCCCCCTATTAATTACGTCGGATGTTTGGATAGTCTGCTCCATGTGAATAACCAAAAAAAACCCAGCTTGCTTTGTTTCTTTGAGTAAAAAGGAGCACATCAACTCAATGCCGGTCATTTAGTGCAGGGGAATAGTCCATCATACAGACAGACATTCAGAAACAATAGGCAAAAAGAAAGAGAGATAGAGAAAAGCAACCTACAAGTGACACCTCTAGCCACCAATATAAGCAGAGACAGCAGAGAGGAAAGGAGAAGCAGGACCTACCAGCGTTTCCCTTCAACAATCCACAGTCTGATTGTTGCATGGTTTTAGTTTTAGTAAGAGTTTACGGTACTTGCAACACAATAGGGTCATATAAGTGTCGAAGATTAGGGGTGTTGCAAGGCAGTAACAAACACAAAAAAGAAGGAGGAGAGATCAGGACGATAGATGTTTGATTATTGATAGGAAAGAAGGAGCAAACCACACCAGAGCACCCACCAACCACGCACACTGTGGCCTAGTGGTTAGGCTACCTGACCAGTAATCGTGAGATTGCGGATTCGGGGTTTGAACCTCAACTCGGTCCAATACTGTGTCCTTGGGAAAGGCACTTTACACGAATTTCCCATCGACCTCAGTCCTTTCGTCAATGAATTCGAAATACCGCCGTGCCGTGAAGGTAACAAATAGAATGACTGGAGCGAACAACCCAAACGGAATAGGTAAGACTTTCGGCAGAAAAAAAAACATTTGCAAGTTATTTTACTGCTTTATACTGGCTCTGTTTGACTTGCATCATCCTTCATTCATCATTTCCTCGACCGTCATCATCATACATCTTTACTACTTTGTGTCAAATGAATGAGGTAAAGGGCCACAACGGTCTGCAAAGTGTCATTTCCTGATCCAAGGTCTTGAAAAGCACCAATGTACCAATGGGTTGGAATAATTTGTTTTAAACTCCTTGCCCTATCACTCACTAAATTGGATTACCCTGACCTATTTCCCTCGATTTATCCGATTCGATTGCGACTGAGTTAACAAACACGATTGGCTTACCACAGTCAGGTCAGGTGAAGCCAAATTCCGATGAAATCAGGAAAACCGGGACAGAATCTCCCCGCTATCGTTACACAAATTCCATCAAACAGTCTAGTCGGGCACAGAACAAATTGACACTCCCTTCCCATTATCTAATTTTTACGTTTATTTGCAGCCGTTCCTTGCTGTGTCTTTTCCCCCGCGTCTGACAAGGGAAACCTTCGACCTTGGCTAAGATTTTGACCTCATCTTGTGGAAACTCAAAAGTAGTTGCGTCACAATTACATTTTATTTGGTAATTATTTTACGGCGCTCTCAGCTGCATAAGTTTATATGAGCGCACGGGTCACATCAAGCATTTTCAATTTGGTAGGAATTAAATTAGAATTTTGATCGGGTGGGGACAGAATCCTACTCTTATGATTTTAGGACTGCCAAGGGATCTTAAACGTGAACAACTTGCACACAGAACCTCCAAGATTGTTCCGCCATTATCCGAGAAGGCTATAAGGTGTAGATCTTACCTACCCTTTCGGCAGAAAAAAAAAATTGCGAGTTATTTTACTGCTTTATTCTGGCTATGTTTGACTTGCATCATCTTTCATTCGTCATTTCCCTGACGATACACAGTTATACAAATCTGTTCCACCATCAGATGTTAAAACCTTGCTTACTAGCATGGGTCTGTGCATTGATGACATCAAAAAGTGGATGGTTGATAATAAGCTCCAGCTTAATACATATCCCCGTAGATATTTATCATATTATCTGTACTGAAAATGAAAAACTATATTTTACTAATAAAGCAAAAAATCTGGGAGGGTATTTTGATTCAAAATTGTCAATGGAACATCATATCAATTATTTATGTACCATTTTATTTTGTGAATTGCGTAGACTTGGTCATATGTCAATGTTTTTTAATGAACACTTGTTAAAAACGCTCGTGTCATCTTTCTTGTTTTCACACATCGATTATTGCAATGCTTTACTAGCTAACTTACCAAATACCACTCTTCACAAGTTACAACGTTTTCAAAATCATGCTGCTAGGCTTGTACTAAAGAAAAAGAAGAGGGACCACATTACTTCCCGTTTCAGCTAGAATGTCATATACAATTGCAATATTATGTCATAAATGTGTCAATAACAAAGCTCCCTCATATCTTAGTGATCTCATCCAGATTTATGTTCCATCTAGATCAGGTGATCAGTATCTTTTAAAAGTTCCCAGAAAAGGGGGTAAAAAAATAGCTGAAAGATCGTTCGCCCACCTTGCTCCGTCAGTTTGGAACTCTCTTCCCCAACCCTTGAGACATACAACATCTGAGTCTAAATTTTAAGAAAAATCTTTAAAGACACATTTAATAACATCCTTTTTATGTCAGTAGATTCATGTTCAATACAATGTTATGTAAATGACTATGTATCCATTTGTATGTATTTTGTGAATTGCAGTGTGTATATTATTTTATGCTCATTTCGTGACGATGTGTAAGCGTGTGCGTGTGATAAGCAAGTAGATGTGCGTGTGTGTGTGCGTGTGTGTGTGCGTGTGCGTGTGTGTGTGTGTGTGTGCGTGCGTGTGTGTGTATGTGTGTGTGTGTGTGTGTGTGTGTGTGTGTGTGTGTGTTTGGTGTACATGTGTGTGCACATGTGTGCGTGTTATGTGTTCGTGAGTGTGTATATGTGTGTTTGTGTGTGTATGTGTATGTGTATATGTGTATGTGTTTGTGTGTGTATGAGTGTGTGTATTTGTGTGCGCGTGTGTGTGTGTCGCGTTCGGGAATATTGTTCTTACATACATTTATGTAAAGCGCCTTGAGCTGTGTTTACACAGGAGTGGGCGCTATAGAAATGATCTTCATTATTATTATTATTATTATTATTATTATTATTATTATTATTATTATTATCATTATTATTATTATTATTATTATTACCCTAAAATCAGGGGTGTGGTTGAAAGACGACTGTAAGGAGGAGTCAAGTACAAGCGGTTGAAAGGCAACAGAAAGAGCCAGGAGTCCAGAAGAGGGAGAAAAGGGGGCGGAGGAGAGGGGAGAGACAAAAACAGACAATATAACATGTTAAGGGAGCAGGAAAGGAGGTAAAAGGAATTTGTTTTTAGAAAAGAAAGTTTTCCGTCAGTGTCAGGTTTCGAACCCGGGCCTTCCCAACTGGGCGAAGCGAGAAATGCTCATTTAAAGTGACTTCCTCAAGGACAAGATGTCGGGCGTCTGACTGGATGCGAACCCATGGCCTTACGGTTGAGCGTTCGGAAGCCTAAACATTGGACCACCAACGCTATACAGTATACTTATATCAGGCAATATGACACCACACATTACGATACATTGCTATAACAGAAAGTAACATACCATACCATACCACATCACACATACCACGCCATACAGTACCATAGCATGGCATAGCGTATCACAAGACAACATAGCATAATATCCGGCTGGATTGAACTTAGGTGGACCCACTGTTTTTACATGTATTAATGCGCACTAGCCATAACAACAGTGGGGCTTGTCCCCCCCCCTCCCCTCCGGAAATAATAATAATAAAAATAAAACACACATATAGATCTAAATGCAAAACAATAACATAAGACAAGAGCGGACCATTGCACAGCTAGGCTCAAAAGTAGTTCCGGCTTCGTTCAGTGTTGGGTCCACCAAAGTACAATCTTACCTAATGTCCCTGACAAAGGGACAACCTAGACGGTTATTACTCACAACGGGACAACCTAAACGATTACTCACAACGGGACAACCTAGACGAATACTCACATGGGGACAACCTAGACAATTACTCACAACGGGACAACCTAGACGAATACTCACAACAGGACAACAAAGAGGATTACACACAACGGGACAATCTAGACTAGACGATTACTCACAACAGGACAACCTAGACGATTACTCACAACGGGAGAACCTAGGCAAGACGCTTACTCACAACGGGAGAACCTAGACTAGACGATTACTCACAACGGGACAACCTAGACGATTCCTCACCTGTCTACAGCGATGATCGCCAAAATGGACACGGAGGAGAACTGAGAGGTAAAGATGGTGAACTGCTCCAGCTTACACGCCAGGTCAGTCCCAGATTCCTGCCACGCCCCCGTCTCCAGACTCAGGTACAGGGGCACCGCGAACAGGCAGACGGCGCAGTCGTAGACGGCCAGGAAGAAAATGAACCAATCGCAGGTCCGCTTCACCTTGACCGACATGTAGACGGAAGAGATGAGGGCGTTGCCTGGCAGGCCGATGATGAGGGCGAGCCAGAGGTAGCCGAGGTACACCATCTGGAAGGTTGGGGTGGGGATGTCGGGGAGGGGGGAGAGAGAAGGTGGGCATTTTAGTTTTGTGAATTCATCTTCCTTGGGAAAGGGCCAGAAGCAATGGGGTCGCGTTTAAGAACAAGCATGTTTACCCAGATTTCGAGGGTTTCCAGAAAACCTGACCTACACCAAAAGTGAGCATTGCCCTACCCATAGAAGTTTGGTTTCATTAGGGTGTATATTTGTTTGGTATAGAAAAAACTCTGCCTTGTTTTTTAAAGAAATTGAACAAGGGGCAAAAACCTTCCCTTCGATTCTCTCAAAACAGTATTTTTCGGGATAGCCCCCTAGTGCTTAAAAGCGATCATGTATACCCCTCCCCCCCTTCATCCTGTTCAGTCTTCGGGTATCACGACGATCGGAGTGAGTTGCTACCTGTTTCTGAGAAACATAACTGAGAAGCCACTCTAACCCCCCCCCCTTCCACTCCCTCCGCAAATGACTCCAGATGTTGCGTACTTGGTCAATCCGTTTGTAAAAGGTGGTATGTGGTTGGCGGGTGCTCTGGTGGGGTTTGCTCCTTCTTTCCTTTCAAACATCTGTCGTCCTGATCTCTCCTACTTCTTTTTTGTGTTTGTTACTCGCTTGTAACACTTCTAATCTTCGGCACTTATATGACCCTATTGTGTTGCAAGTGCCGCAACACTTTCACTAAAAAAAAGTAAAAGGTGGTTATACTTGACTTTTATTGGTATCGTAATTTTCAGGATTTTTTTCTAACACTCTGCTCTTGAAGTGGGTCTGATTTCTTCGTTTTTGATGGTGAAAAAAGCAGACGCGGGTAATGATAAATAGCTCTCTGCACACGAGTCAACAGAGGATAGCTCTCATTAAAAAGTGGAACGATATCAGGGAGGATTTATTTTCGGAACTCTTTCATGACATTTATCTATTTCCGTGTATGTCTTTTTCTTGCTGCCAAGTGATCATACTGTTTACATACTCTTAGACATGGTGAAATGGCCTGCTTCTGAAATGAAAACTTTATGTTCCAGATAATATATCTCTTTCAAGAAATATTGAAGCCATGCAAATTGACAACTACGACAACGACGACGACAACAACAACAACAACAACAACAACAACAACAACAACAACAACAACAACAACACTTACTATAACAATAACAGCAACAGTAACATCAACAATAACAACACAACAACAACAGCAGCAACAACAACAAAAACCAGCTCCCCTCCCCTGCTTTGGTAAAGATTTGCGCAATACAAAAATCAATGTCATCACTGAACAAGTCAAAATTTTTGAAGCATCGACCACGTTGAGAGATTTCAATACTAAACGTCAACTTTCTTGGCATCTCAATTATTCCCATTTACAGTATTTCAGCCTGTCTTTCTACCATGGCTTAAAGACAAAATAAAGAACAACAATTTATAATTTTTTTTTACTGACGCAAATTCTATGTAGAATTCTAGACTGTGCAACTTTTAATTTTACCACGACAAGGGCAATCTTTTTAAACAGTGCCAACACGTTTTCTAAACCTGGCATTATGTTATCACGCTCTCCGGGACGTAACAAGATCTACAGGGAATTTTGAAGGCTTTAGATAAAGTTGAAATACGCAGTCTTCTTTAAGTGATCTTGTTTACGGGGCTGAAAAACGATCTGCAGTTGAAAAACAATTTGCTTTTCAACAACAAATTATTTTTGTTCTGCATTGATTTTTTTTCCAACAAGGAAATGGCCATCTATTATTATTGTGCGCAGCATTTTTGCACTCTAATACGGGGTGCCCACAACGGCTGGATCGGGCCGATCGTCCGACTCGGTCGCCTCAAAGACAAACGTGTTTGTTTTCAGTTTCAGGCGACCAAGTCGGGAGATCGGCCCCGATCCAGGCGTAGTGGGCACTACACATTACGTTAGTGGGATCAGATTCCGTGATTTGTGTTACCCCATGTGTCCTTCTAAATGATCTCCAAAGACTGAAAACTTTCTGAATAGAATTGTCTTTACCCGGAGGCAACACTTTGATGAGACTAAGCGGGAAGCTGGGAAAACAATACGGCTGTAACAAACTTCTGATCTCACCCTCTGGCGTGTCTTTCATAAAGGTTGAGAACAAAATTGATTAGTCACATTTCAGAAGAACGTTAATACTGTTTGCATTAGCAGTGCTGTTCATGTGTCATGTAGCGCGCTCGCGGACGAATCTGATGACGATGACAGACTTTATTCTTCTCGAGCAAGGAAATGCTCTGTGATTGAGCTCATAAGCTGGCATATTATGTATCAAAGAGACTGCACACACATACACAAACACACTCACACACACACACACACACACACACACACACATACACACACACATACGCACACACACGCACGCATGAATGCACGCGCACGGGCACACACAGACACACACTCACGTATCTATATATCTATGTATCTATGTATCTATGTATGTATGTATGTATCTATCTATCTATCTATCTATTTCTCTATCTAGAGTGCTGCCTTTTGCCATAACTGTATTAACAATAAAGCTATGATGTATTCAAGCGACCACATTCAAATGTATGTTCTACCTAGATCTCTAAGATCAGGACACACAAACCCCTAATACCTGGAACGTGGCTAACCCCATTACCACTAAAGGAGAAGCTGTACTGGTTAACAGAGGAAATGAGCAGGGTAGCACACCCTCGTATGATAAGTACCGGTCTTCAAGCCTGATGCCATGGGTGAAAGAAGAAGAAGAAGAAGAAGAAGAAGAAGAAGAAGAAGAAGAAGAAGAAGAA